ACAATTACTGGCAACAGCCAGGGTCTAATTTCTCCAGGATTGAACTCAGTGCCTCCATGAAATAGTAAAGGGCTCCCTTCCCCTTAACATGAACAAATTTCCAGCTACAGAATTTAACTGAGGACAGGTAAACCTCAACATATGCCTTGATATTTATTTAGTAGGCTTTGCCCTAATAAATTGACTATATAAAAGAACTGCAAACTAGAGGCATTGCTGCAGCAATGGCATTTTGGAATTTTATATTTTTGATTCCTTGGTGTCTCTCTGGATGCCTTTGGGCTTCTCTGGATTCTTTATCAATATTTGAAGAACCAGCTGTCCAGGAAATAGGGTTGGTTTTCTCTTCCCAAAATGTGGATATGACAGAGTGGCTTCAAACCCTTTTCAATAGATGCAGAAAATTCTTGATAGAGTGCTTCAATATTATTAATCTGCTAGCAGAGATTAGCCCAAATTTAAGATAAAGGCATGCAGGTTGAGGTATTCATTTCACCAAGGGGACTGTCCCAAACCATTTGCCCAAGAAGGAAGAGAAAAGGGAGTTTGGGATTTGTCCTGTCTAGCAAGATCTTCTGGGTGTTTAAGCACTGGGCATACATCCTCTAACTGATTCAACAGTGGAGAGGTTGTAAAAACTGCTGGGCTGCAAAATTGCCCAGAACTACCTTCCTCAACTTAGTGCCTTATTGGAGTACAACACCCATCATCACCTGCCTCCAGAATGTCCTGATATGCCCAGAGCTTTATGAAGGAGGTGACTCAGACTAAGAATTCAAATAACAGCCAAGACTTTCCTTGTGAAAACTGTCCCTACAAGTCCCTATTCTGCAGGATAGTCCTCCGAAGATAATAATCCTCTCCTTTAGATCCCTAGAGTGTTCTCTGATTTTATGACTGCAAAATGGTTTCCCTTCCCCTGTATGATGACCATGCTCTCTCCCCCCCCCCCCAATTCCCTTTTTCTCCCAGACTGATATTAAGAGTATTAAAAAAGAAAAGAAGGGGGAAAAAAAGAGGAAGAGCAACTTAAAATGTTTTTTAAAGACAGCTTGGGTCAGACAATCTTTCTTAGGAAAAGAAAAATGGGGGTGGGAGAGAATTTCAGAAGCAGCCTCTCTAAACACCATCCCCCTGCCCAGTGCTGTGGTTCTCTTTGTGGTCTGTAAGCCACTGGGGATGGGTGGGGGTTAAAATTCTGTCTGACTTAGCAGCCTTAAGAGATTGTGGGACCTCCCTCTTCCTGCTACTTTTAGTGCTGTCTCAAGGCCAGGCCACCACAATTTATGGCTGCAGCGCATCAAGCCATTACCGGCAGTTTAAGCTTGTAAAATTTGGTGAGAATTCTCAGGGAGTACATGTGCTTCTCCATGCAACCCTGATCAGCAGTCATCAGGCAAGTATTGGCTTAAAAAGTGAATTTGTTATTTTTACTGGCTATTCTGGAAACTAATTTCCCAAGCCTAAGTAAGTGGGCAAGGAAGTAAAACAGAACAAAAATAAAAACCTCCCTGTGAAAATCTCTGTATACTTCTAAATTTTACATGCTCCTGTTTAAATTGCCTCTGCGTTAATTTTCTACTAATGTCAATGCATACAAATATGTGTTTGCCCCAGCTCACACTTTAAAAGTTATTACAGCTCTAGCCCAATATTTTTGAGTGGAGGGGTGTCAAGGGGAAAAAAAACCTATAATGCAAGTGAATATTTTTATTTGAAAAATAATCAGTTTATTTTCAGTGCTGCTCAGACTAGCAACTACAAATCCAATAATACTCTTTGCCATGTTGCTTTATTTTTATGTTTTTTAAAGTTTATGTTTTAATATGTTGCTTCACCACCACCCCACCCCATTCAACTAAGAATTGGCTCCTGGAACTTCATGGACAAATCCATGCAATTGTCTAGACAGGATTTTTTGAAGTGTTTTATCAATGCCTTTTTCCTGTGGTTAAGAGAAAGTGACTGACTCAAAATTATGTGTTCAAAATTCTTTACCAACATTTAAATTAAGATTGACAATTTCTTGAAGCAGTATTTCATTAATAGGTACCGGTATATGTTCTAAGCCATAACATTAATTTTATTTTATTAGCAACAAGAACACCATGGTATATTACCCAGCCAATATTTAAAAATACACTGTATGCTGATATCATTATTAGATAGATAGATAGATAGATAGATAGATAGATAGATAGATAGATAGATAGATAGATAGATAGATAACCTTTATTGTCATTTTTACTGTGGGCACAATGGCACACGTTAAAAATGAAATTTTGTTGCTTGCTCTCAAAGTGTATACATACATAACACACATTTAAACATACTATATACAACATATGTATAGATCTACACCTACAATTTAATATTGTATTCTTTCACTTTTATTTCTTATTTACATAAGTACAACTTTATTAAGCTTATCCAGTACAATTCAAGATGAATATGATAATATAGAAAAATACTATGTTGTAAAAATTATACAGATTTCACAAGTTAAATAAGACTCATATATATATATATATATATCAGAGTTGTAAGTCACAATATAATTTTTTACATTTTACAAATGTATACAAATGTTTTACATTTCACAAATGTATACAACAGCATACAGCCTAGTGGCTCACCTTTCCAGAGATCACAAAATCACACTCTTTTAAAAGTGTTTGTTTTAAAACTGACCATTCTTTAGTGACATCTTACTTTGATCCAGTATTTCAAATTAGTTACTATATTTACTTCAGAAACAATAAAGGGTATAATAATGGGCAGTGCACATTAAAAAAAATCCATCAAAAAGGAATGGGATTAGCTAAATGGAGATTTTGCATGACCTTCTCCCTCTCAATGGCCACGGTCCCAGTGCTGGAAAGAGCTAATTTTAGACTCAGCTTATTCATTTTCTGAGGAATGAAGACGCTTCTTAAATGGTAAGTGTGTTATTTTACTTACTTGAAAATGCAGTAAACTGATTGGCTCTGTTATGAGGTCCTCTAATTGATTGTAGATGATTTGAAGCCCCATCTCCATCCCCTTCATCCATTCTGGTTTCTGCCACAGTTTTACTTTGAAAACATCACTGAGTTCCCCTCCCCACAACTGAGTTATTAAAGCATAGTATTGATACAGTTATTGTTGAGGTGTGTGTGTGTGTTCAAGTAGTGTAGACTCCTGATGATTTTCTGGACAGGTCCTTGAAGTTTTCTTGACAAGATTTTGGAAGTGATTTGCTATTATCTCCTTCTTAGGGCTGAGAGAGTATGACTGGCCCAAGTCACCCAGTTGGCTTTTGTGCCTAAAATCTTCCAATTTCTAGCCTAGTGCCTTAACCAGGACACTAAACTAGCTCTCATCATTGTTACTTACAGTTGCATAATTTTAGATAAATTAAAAACCACCCACATTCTGTAATGTACAACAATTCACACTGCATAAATATGCAAATTTTTTTGTTAATACATCCCACTGCATGTAGCTTGCAAGAAGCATCTATATCCTGTATTAATATTTCAGCATTGTACATACTGGTGTGCCAGCTTCTCTATATATTTGCAGGAAAGGATATTAATCCAGAGAGTAAGAAGAAGAAAAAATGTATTAGAAAAAAGCAAGCCTTGAATACAAACAAATTTTCCATTTTATAGGCTTTAGTCAAGCATTTTCCAATATTTTTATGCAACTTTAAGCAATTTAAAATCCAATGGGTTACCATGCTTAGAGGATAAATACTGAAATTTAGAAAATTCATTAATTCTGATTTTTAATTGTAAAAAAGCATGAGCAATGATATTTAGTTCCCATACTCATATGAATTCATGCTTTTCATCAAAGATACAATGTATCATGTTAATATTATAATTTAATATAATATTCATATAATGTTAGATTAGAAGATCCAGTCAATTATTTAAATTGTATACACTGACAGTAATACATTTTATTTTAACTTATATAAGTCACAACTAAATTCCTAGAGTGAATCATTTTACATTAATGTCCAGATCTGTAAGGATTTTTTTCATGCATAAACCATGAAAATATGATGACTGGAAGTAGACGTCTGAAATAATATTTATTTGTTGAAATCAACAGAAATAAAGTAAAAGCTCACATAGATATTTAGATATTGCATGCCAGTTGTGCTCTTTAAAAGGAGTGCATACCTACGAGTGATAGAAACAACTATTTTGGGTTTATTTTTTTTCTTGTACTTGATTAAAAAAATACAGTCTGGATAGTTTACAAGTGTAAGTTAGTGTGGACTGTCATGCAATGTTAATATGGATTGTTTGTCTTGCAATATTTAATATAAAATGATTCTTCCAAATAAAAATAATTTATATTATTTTTTATTTAGTTCACTGCAAAATTGTACATTCCTGAATTTGGAATTTGCCTTGTTACAGCACTATGATCTGCCTGGGGACAAGATCTGTTGTTTGGTTTTTTCCCCCTCGAATTTCAATAAGAGGAGCAGTTTTAATAACATTAGTAGCTAGAATACCCTCTTCCTCCAAAGAAACATGGGCCTTATTGAATTCCTTGAGCAGCAATTATTACTATAGCCTGAACAACTTTGTTTAAATTCAGTAATTCGGTGCAAGAAACGAGTCTATTGTGGCATAGCTCCCATCCCTCCTATCTGCAGATTTGTATGAATTAACAACTCCAAAGTCCTGGGAGTACAACACCATCGTTAAACACAGACCTGTGACCTTGAGTAATAGTCTACTCTAAGGTAAAAAGTTTTACCTGGTGTAAAGGTATAGAGAAACCAATTGGGCTTTACAACATATAGTAGCTTCAAATCAAGGTATAGAGAAACCAATTGAGCTTTACAACATATAGCAGCTTCAAATCAATTCACTTGCAAAGATTTGAGCCCCTAACAAGTATATTATCGCAAAGGGACTCCTTTGTGATTTTGTCTTTTTTCTTTATTATTACTTAGAATACATTCTTAGAATGCATGGACACGTGCCAGTTTGCCTCGGGACAAAGAAGGATGGAGAGATTTCGGGGGGGGGGGGGGGGGAGGGGATTGCGAGGATAACACTATAGGATAATTTAACTAACACTGATTACTTGGAGGGGTAGGGGTGGGGAAGGGAGCCGAGAAATTCCTCCAAACAAAGGCGGAAATACCCGTTCCCCCCCCCCCCGATGCTGAGGCCTTCTTGGCTCTCCCTACGGGCCTTGCTGCATTTTGCGCAGATGTTTTGATTTAATATAGATTTAATATAAAAGGAACGGGATTCCAGACGCCGGTCTTGGAGAACCGACATGGAAGGTGAAAATCAGAAAAAATTGAAGAGGGGGGGGGGGAAATAAAGCGGGGGGGGGACAAACCAGTGACCACGTGGGGGAAGAACTCCAAGGCCCGCTGCTCTCTCCGGGACACCGGGGAAGCGGCCAACAAAGGGCTCGAACTGAGAAGGGGCCCCTTTGCTGAACATGTGCGCCTGCCAGTCTGCCTGCCTGCCTGCCCCTCCACTCGCGGCTGCTTTAACCTCCGTCTCTCTTTCTTCCCTCCGGCCAGACGCTGTAAGTCAATCGCCCCCCGAGGGCTGCACCTTCCGACGCGGCCGCAAGAAGCGAATACCGTACAGCAAAGGGCAGTTGAAAGAGCTGGAGAAGGAATATTCCAACAGCAAGTTCATCACCAAGGACAAGAGGAGGAAGATTTCCGCCGCCACTAACCTTACCGAGAGACAGATCACTATCTGGTTTCAGAACCGGAGGGTGAAGGAGAAGAAGGTGGTGGCCAAGGTCAAAAGCGCCACTGCCAGCGGCAGCAGCGGTAGTAGTGGAGGCGGTGGCGACGCCTCTTGAGACCCGCGCGAAGGGAGGAAGGTGGCCTGGAGGGAACAGGCAAAGAAAAGAAAGAAAGAAAAAAAAAACAGGGGGCGCAAGAAACTCCCGCGGGGTCGCCCACGCGAGGCCTGCAAAGGCTCCCGCCCTCCGAGGCCTTCTGCTAAGAGGGCGACGGCCCTATCGAGGGGGTCCATTGATCTCTCGTCACCTTTTAAATTTGTTCTTAATAATATATTTTTAATTATTATCATTGCTATTGCTGCTTTGTTTCCCCCGAGAAATTAAAACTCACTGTGGGAACAGCCGATGGTTTAAAAAAAAACAAAAAACAAAACCCCGAAGCGATACCATCCTCGTTCTTTTCCTGATTTTATAAGAAAGGAAAGAGGGAGAGGAGAAGACACCTTGTGCAATTATTTTTCCTTTCTTTTCCTTGAAAAGAAGGTGCCTTAGGGCTTTTATTCTGTGACCTTGCTTTCTTTGTCTGAAATCCAGTCATTCAGAGCTGCTTTAAGGGGTAAGGGGTGGGGAAGAAGAGAAAAGCCACCCAAGAAGAAGAAGAAAATCGCCGAGAATCGATCCGAATGTAAACAGATTATGCTAAGTATATAAATAAATATATATACATATATATATATAATACATGCTTAGCATGATCTGTGTTGGGGAGGAGACTTTTACATATGTCAGATAATTGCCTATATACTATAAAATTACCATTATATATTTTAAGACTTCGCGCCGCATATGAGGGCTGACCACCGCCTGAAGCTTTTGTTCTTGATGATGATGATTCATACAGTATTTGCATACTACCAAAAACTAATTAAAAGTGCCTTTGAAGACACTGAAAAAAAGCCGTGGGGGAATTTACAATGTAATAAACACAAGTTATTGCATACCGAAGGAAAAGCCATCTTTAATGTTTCATTTTTTGTTTTAATCCTCTCTTAGAGATATCCATCAGAGTAAAATGTGTTGCTATAATTCCGGGCTCAAATTTTGCCCTAGCCATTCTGGAATCGTAACACCTTTGTCTATATATTTAAGAAGGGACATAGAAACACGCATACGCGCTTTTGCAAGCCGTGGGGGCTCCCCATCGTGCAACTTTTACGGTTCCCGCTTTCTATTGTCTTGAAAGTCTGCTCAGATCTTCAGACAGCTGGAAGGGAGATCCTTGCATTCCACGCACTTTCTTCCGAAAGGGAACGCCTTCAGAAGTCCGGGAGAAGAGCATTCGGCGACTTAGGAGCAGGTTCCATCACCTTAGTGGTGATTTACGGGGGTCTTCTGGCGTCATTCAAAGGGTCGCGGAGCCGACAGAATAGCGATGACGTCATCGCTAAAACTTCCAATTGAGTGGTCTCCTGGTGACCACATGGAGTCTCCAAGTTGCCTTGGCAACAGGCAGGCTTTGTATTGCCTCAACAACGGCTGGGTGACGCTGGAAGATGCTGTAAATCGTTCGCCAAGAAGTGGCCATTCAGAGCAACTGATTTTTTTTCGGTCAGTACAACGAGGGAGATTTACGTTTCGAATATCTATTGTTTATATTGGATCTGGAGGCTGAGATTTCGAAATTGCCATGCAAAGTGGCGCACGAGGCTTGGTTAGACCTCGAATCTCCGCAGTTCCACTAGAACCCACCAGCCGCCCGCCGAAGCAAGCCGAATTCTGTGGGAGGAGACTGAGAAGGGGAGTGAGGTGCTGCCCTCGAAGTATCCCTAAACAAACGAAAATCTTTCCTAAAATTCTAATTTTGCAGAATTATTTAGAAACGTCTCTGGCGCTCACACCGATTTTGATTCTATAGCAAAGGACACCCTACCTAAAGCAAGTTGCTTTACCAAAAAGCTTAATGCGAAGATGTGCAAGTATATTGCCCATTTATATATTTTTGTATTTCATAATACATTATCCAAAATAATAGAGATTGCGTAAGCAGTACTGTATTTATTATTTGACACAATATGATGAACGATAGTTAAATGTGTGATAGAGGGGTCCTCAGACTTGGCCACTTTATGACTTGTGGACTTCAACTCCCAGAATTCTGGCTGGGGAATTCTGGGAGTTGAAGTCCACAAGTCTTAAAGTGGCCAAGTTTGAGGACCCCTGATGTGATATAAAATGCATGAGAAAACAAAGATAGGACTGTGATAAGTATTCTGAAACTTCCCGCCTTTTATTCTTTAGCCATTTCTTTCTCCGGAGAAACTTTAGAAACCTCCAAGAGCAGAATGGAAATAGTTCGATGGTCTACAAACAACTTCACAGACTACATAGTCGCTCCTCGTTTGGGTCCAGCTTCGACCTTTTAATCGACCTGTAACAGGGGCCCACGGCAAATGACCTCTTCTCCCACTCAGCGCCTCGGTCATAAACCTCAAACAAAGGTTCCGGTTTTATTTTAGGGCCTCAGTTTATTTCACTTTGCGTTGATAACCACACCCTTCAACTAGCAGGCTTGCTTCGCACCCTCTCCTGGGGCTGTTGCCTCGCAGAATTAAATGCATAAAACTCAACGAGAGGTTCATGATGACCGAAGGAAAAGGCGCGCCGGGACCAAGTTCAAGGGTAGCTCTCTCTCGTGCCAGGCCCTCTCTTAGAGATGCTCCAGGAGACACTTAGACGTTTTAAAATGACTTCGCCTGTCAAGTGATTCGGATTTTACAGCCGGTCAGCATCTGCTGTGCGTACTTCGGCGCCTATTTACTTAGTAGACGAAGGATGGGACGAGAAAAAACTCCGCCGTTATGCTCCTAACCATATGGTAGGAAGAATTACACGTGAAGTCGAAAACAAAGGACTGGCCGAACTACCAACAAGGAAAGCCAGGATTTTTTCGTCAATATTTTTTTTTCTTCCGTTGAATGCTGTCGTCTTGGAGACGTCTTGGACAAGTACCCCATGTTTTATTGGCAAGGTTTTTGTTTTTTTTTACCAGTCGTTTGCTATTGCCTCCTTCCTAGGGCAGAAAGTGACTGATCCAAGGTCCCCCAATTATCTTTGTGCCTAAGGCAGGACCCGAATTCACCGCCTCTTGGTTTTCAACCTGATGCCTTAACCACTAACCAAACTGGCCCTGTATACTCTTCAATATGTACTTCTAAACTCGGGGAATTCATATTCTTTATTTTATTGAACATGATATGCCTGTTGATCCTCCAACCCAAAGACCTAGAGATTTCTCCCCAGGCTTGCCAGAAATCAACTAACACACAATGTTTCCAGGGCTTGACCCTAACTGCAACCGTCTAAAAAGAGGGATGGAGGAGCAAAAAAGGGGAACCAATATATTTTGGATACGAGGAATTCCCCCCCCCCCTTTGGGATGATCTCTAGCTCTGAGCCTTCTGCAAAGGCCTTCCATCTGTGAGCACATTTCTTCTCTTTCTCTTGTACCCCAGATAATAAAAATGTCAATCTGAGAATGCAAGGAGAAAGTCTGGAAGGCGAGGGTTTACTTTAGAGGTGGTTTTGCAACCAATATTTGCTACATCCAGTAGCAAGGCAAGAGGAGAACAATTTTCCATTCACTTTACATCATGATTTAATTCTGACTCTAGAAGTCAGGACTTAGTTAACTTAGTTGACTCAGGTCTCTCACCCTGGAAGTAGAGATTCTTAAAAGCCAAATAAGTTTAAGAGGTTTCCCATAGAGGAAAATATAATATATATATAGCTGTGGAGTCCTTGGTACTCTCTGACCTTGACTGTTTGCTTTCAGACGTTTTCATTACCCAAGTAGGTAACATGATCAGTGCCAGTGAGCATGAGGTTGGCTCCCAGTTTACATAGACTAGCTTGTCCTGCCAGTGTTGATGGGTGTGGTTTTTAAAGATTTGTTAAGGAAGTGATGCTTGCTTTCAAGATTAAGTCACATACGCCACCTTCCGGTTGCGGGTTGCGAGGTTTAGTGCAGATGGCAGTGTTTCCTTCCCTCCTTTCCACCCTCTTTTTTCGCCTTTCCTTTTACTCCAGATAAAATATGTCTCCTTTCGTGTTTCCTATCAATTTTTGATGAATTAAATAAACAATTAAAAATTATCTCCAAAAACTGAAATTTCCTATTTTATAGATCTGAATTTAGGACAAAAATTAGGACAAACTTGATTTTGAGCGATTAATTTTACAAAACTCGCCCCTACCCTACTTTGAACTTAAAAATAAATAGTGAAAATTAGTAAGTTGCATGTTCAATAAGCTCTGTTATGTGTATTCTTCTCTCTCTTTTTTTACAATAAACTTGTATGATTATCTTTTGGACCTTCATGTGATTAATCTCATTCTGAACCAGGTGAACAAGGAATATACTCAGATGGATAACGTTATATAGTTTAAAGAAGATATGTTTATAAAACACCATTGATCTACCCACATAATTTTAAACGTATGTGTATGTGGGGGGGGGAGAGATCCTCTGTATGTGTGAGATTTATTGTTGATTTCAACTTGGGTTGCCTCCAAATCAAATCAAAACCATCCCCCATTCCCTTGTCTAAAATAAAATACCTTCATTGTTTGCCTTCCCTATTTCCAATTCATGGAATGTCCATTCCTTAATTCTCCTTTTTGTTCCTGACTCAATTCTTCTAAAAAGGTGAATTCCTGAAGCCCAATGGTGGAGGCTTCGCCTTTTGTTCGCAGCCCAGAAATGAGGGTGGGGGTGGGGTTGGGGGATGATGAAGAGGCCAAACCTCCGTCTAGTTGCTTTTCTGAAATTGCTGCTAAAAGAACCAGATGAACAAAATGGCTGGCACGCATCAAAAACACAAGAGGGAGAATTGGGGGGGGGGGGGGGGCTCGTCATTGGATCTACTCATGCTGATCTGAACAGGCGTGCCAATGCTGATAATTTTACCACCCCCTGCATAAAATTCGAACAACGCTACTAGCAAACCAATTCTGGATCGAAATCACCCATTTATTCATTATCTGGACTTTAAAAGGCTTAACTTTGATTTTACTAGCGCGTTTTCTGTGTTCAGAAGGATGTGTGCAGAAACGAATGT